ATGTCATGAACGTCTAATCTGGGGTTGAGCAGTCAACTGTCACCTACAATCAGCAGCATGAATCTGTATGGAAGTCATCTCAAGGATAATATAATTACTATTATATTTTGGTTTTGATGATTTTTTGGTTTTACTAGTGTTTAAGAAATTTATACATGCATATAACTTGTTTTGAACAACCCCACCCCATTCCCTTTCCTCTAACCCTTCCCCACCCCTCCACCACTTTCCCTCCTAGCGTCATTACTTTGTTTTAAAGCATACCGAGTCCAGTTCGTGCTGCCAGCATATGCATGGGTGTAGGACCATCTTCCGGAGCACAGGTAGCATCTCGGGAGCTGCAGCCTTGAAGAAAACTGACTCTTCCTTGCCTAGCAGCCATCAATTTCCAGAGCTCATCAGGTAGGGGCTTGGGTTTAATGGACCTCTCCCCTGTCTCTTGCGGGATTGGCTGAGTTGATAATGTGCCAGTCTTGACCATGTAGTCATGGCTGTTGTGAATCCTGTGTGCAGCGGCACTGTCATGCCTACAGGCACTGTTTTGTTTCAGATGCTCACTCTTTCTGGCTCTTACAGTCTTGTGGCCTCCTTTTCCTCAGAGATCCCTGAGTCTTAGGGGTAGAAGGTATGATATAGATGCCCCATTTAGAGATGAACACTCCATGGTCTCATAATCTCTGTATGTTAAGTTGTTGGCCTTTGTATTAATTGCTATCCAGTATTACTGAGGGTTGAGAGATGCACTAATCTATGGGTATAACAATTATTCATCAGGAGTCAGTTTACACTATGCTCATTGAGCAGAGCAATAGTTTTCTCTGCAGGGCGTATAACTACCTAACAGGTTCTTGAATCCAATTAGAAATGGTTGCTCCCATAGCAATGGTGTCAACATTGCACCAGTGGGCACGTCCTGTCAGGCCAGTCAGAATTACAGATCACAAGTTTCATAGCTGGGTAAAGACTGTTGATGGCTTCCCCACCCCTAGCAGCTTACACAACACCTTCCAGTACAATGACAACTTGCTAGCAAAATCAGTTCCGGCTTTAATCTCACAAGTATGTGCTATCTTCAGCAATAAGGTCTTACTGTCAAGCTCTAGAAAGTACCCAGAAGCTGTGGCAATAGACTGTGAGGTATGAGGGGCAATGGAATAACTATTTTACTTTTTGAGGCATTTTTTCCTATATAGCCTCATCTGGCACCATCTCCTAGTTTTCTAGTTCTCTGGCTTTAGTCTTCTGATTGCTGGGACTATGGATGGGTACTGTCAAGTCTGGGTATCATTTCAACTTCTATTTCTTGGTGATTAATGGTGATGAGCATCTCTTTTGTGTTCACTGACCATTTTCTTTTTTTATTGATTTTATTGAACTATACATTTTTCTCTGCTCCCCTTTCTGCTTCTCCCCTTCCCTCCTACCCTATCCTGTGGTCCCCAAGCTCCAAATTTACTCAGGAGATCTTGTCTTTTTCTACTTCCCATGTAGATTAGATCCATGTATGTCTTTCTTAGGGCCCTCTTTGTTGTCTAGGTTCTCTGGGATTATGAATTTTAGGCTTGTTTTCTTTGCTTTATGCCTAAAAGTCACTTATGCCTGAGTGCATATTAGATTTGTCTTTCTGGGTCTGTGTTACCTCATTCAAAATGATGTTTTAAATTGCCTGCAAATTTCAAGATATTGTTATTTTTTTCTGCTCCTTTATGTAAATGTACCACATTTTCCTTATCCATTCTATGGTCAAGGGGCATTTAGGTTTTTTCCAGATTCTGGCTATAACAAACAATGATGCTCTGTGAACATAGTTGAGCCTGTTGCACGGTTGAGCATCTTTTGGATATATACCCAAAATTGGTATTGCTGGGTCTTGAGGAAGGTTGTTTCCTAATTTTCTGAGAAATCACCACACTGATATCCAAAGGGGCTGTACCAGCTTGCACACCCACCAGCAATGCAGGCTTTACCCCACAGCCTGTCCAGCATAAGCTGTCATCAGTGTTTTTGATCTTGACCATTCTTACAGGTGTAAGATGGAATCTCAGAGTTGTTTTGAATTGCATTTCTCTGATGGCTAAGGATGTTAAACATTTTCTTAAGGGTCTTTCAGTCATTTTAGATTAGTCTGTTGAGAGTTCTCTGTTTAGGTCTGTACCCCCTTTTTCATTGGATTATTTGTTCTTTTGATGACCAATTTCTTGAGTGTATTGTATGTTTTGAAGATCAGTCCTATGTCTAATGTGGTGTTGGTGAAGATCTTTTCCCATTCTGTAGGCTGTCGTTTTGTGTTGTTGACAAAGTCCTTTGCTTTCCAGAAGCTTCTCAGTTTCAGGAGGTTCCATTTATTAATTATTTCTCTCAGTGTTTGTGCTGCTGGGGTTACATTTAGGAAATGGTCTCCAGTGCCAATGCGTTCTAGTGTACTCCCAGTTTCTCTTCTATGAGGTTCAGTGTGGCTGGCTTTATGTTGAGGTCTTTGATCCATTTGGACTTGAGTTTTATGCATGGTGATAGATTTGGATCTATTTTCATTCTTCTACATGTTGACATCCAGTTTTGCCAGCACCATTTGTTGAATATGTTTTCTTTTTTCAATTTGATATTTTTTGCTTCTTTATCAAAAAAATCAGGTGTTCATAGGTGTATGGAATAATGTCCATGTCTTCAGTTTGGGTCCACTGATCCTCCTGTCCTTTTTTATACCAATACCAGGCTGTTTTCAGTATTATAGCTCTGTAGTAGAGTTTGAAGTCAGGGATTGTGATGCCTCCAGAAGTTCCTTTGTTGTACAGGATTGTTTTGGCTCTCCTGGGTTTTTTTCTTAAGCTTTTTGAAATGAAGTTCTTTTGAGTTCTGTGAAGAATTTTTCTGGGATTTTGATATGGATTGCATTGAATCTGTAGATTGCTTTTGGTAAGATTGCCATTTTTACTATGTTAATTCTACCTACCTAAGAGCATAAGAGATCTTTCCATTTTCTGGTGTCTTCTTCAATTTCTTTTAATTTCTGATTTTGTTAATTTGGATATTCTCTTTCTGCCTTTTGGTTAATTTGGATAAAGGTTTATCTTTTTGTTCATTTTCTCGAAGAACCAACTCTTTATCTCATTGATTCTTTGTATTGTTTTTTTTGTTTTCATTTTGTTAATTTCAGCTCTCAATTTCATTATTTTCTGCCATCTAGTTCTGTGTGAGTTTGCTTCTTTTTGTTCTAGAGTTTTCAAATGTTCTGTTAACTCACTAGTGTGGGATTTTTCCAGCTTCTTTATGTAGGCATTTAGTGCTATGAACTTTCCTCTTAACACTGCTTCACTGTGGCCCATAAATTTGGGTATGTCGTGTGGTCATTTTCATTGAATATTAGGAAGTCTTTAATTTTCCTTTATTTATTCCTTGATCCATTGATGAGTCAGGTGAATATTGATTACTTTTCAAGTATTTGTGGGCTTTCTGGAATTAGTGTTGCTTTTGAATTATAATTTTAAGCCACTGTGATCTGAGAAGATACATGGGGTTATCCCCCCCACTTTTGTATCTGTTGAGGTTTGCTTTGTTACCGAGTACATGATCAATTTTTGAGAAGGTTCCACAAAGTGCTGAGAAGAAAATATATTCTTTTCTGGTTGGATGGAATGTTCTCTAGATGTCTGTTAAATCTATTTGAGTCATAACATCTGTTAGCAGATGTTAGTTTCCTTATTTCTCTGTTAATTTTCTGTCTGAAAGACCTGTCCAATGGTGAGAGTGGTGAGTTGAGTCCATTTACATTAAGGGATACTAATGACCAGTGATTGCTATCTCCTGTTAATTTAATTTTCATTGTTGGTGATTTTTTTGTGTGTCTTTTCCCTTCTTTGGGATTTGCTGCTGTGAGATCATCTGTTGTATGTGTTTTTGTAGATGCAGCTAACTTCCTTGGGTTGGAGATTTACTTCTAGTACTTTGTGTAGGGCTGGGTTTGTGGCTAGGTATTGGTTAAATCTGGTTCTCTCATGGACTATCATGTTTTGACCGTCTATGCTGATTGAAAGTTTTGCTGAGTATAGTAATCTGGGCTGGCATCTTAGTGTTTGTATAATTACTTAATTATACAAATTATATAAATTTGTAAATTATACAAATTACTTAATTATACTTAATTAATCTTAATGCTGGACTCTTAATGTTTGTATAACGCTTGACCATGACCTTCTGGTTTTCATTGTTTCCATTGTCTATCTTCTTTGGAGGAATACCTCTTGTGATGGCTATTCTTGGTTGCCAACTTGATTATATCTGGAACTAAAGATGCCAAAATGTGAAATATTTTTACTTACTTTGAAATGGGAAGATTTGCTTCTAATCCAGACCTTTAGGGTAACAAAACACACCTTTAATTCAAATCTTTTGAGTTGGGAAGACCCACTTTTATTCTGGGTCACACCTTCTGCTGGAAGTGTATATAAGAACATGGAAGAAGGAAGCTTTATGCCTGCTTGCTCTTACCCTGCTAGCAACTTTATTCCTTTGCTAGCATTATAGCCTATTTCTTCGGGATTCTAACATATACTGAATACCAATGGAGACATCCAACCTCGTCGACTGAACAACTACATGATTCTTGGGCTTTCCATTCATAAGCAGTCTTTGTTGGAATAGCTGGATCACAGCCTATAATAAGTTCATATATATATATGTATGTGTGTGTGTGTGTGTGTGTTTCTTTCTCTGTTTCTGAGTTTTATAATTCCTCTATCTAATTTGTGAGTGTTTTTTGTTTTGTTTTTGCAAATATGACTTTGTGAATATTTTCTCTTATTTTAGGTTTGTCTTTCTACTGTGCTGATAACGGTCTTTTAATATGTAAAATTTATAATTTTGGGTAAATCTGATTTCTCCACTCTCTCTTGCTGCCAATGTCTTGGTGTCATTCAAATTATCGTCACCAGAGCCCAGGTGTGCAGGATGGCCCTGGGGAGGCCGTCTACGAGGTGGCAGATGAGAAGATTGGAGGAGCGCAGAGGAAGGTACGCCTCAGGTTGGATTCAAGAATCAGAACGGGAAGCACAGAACCTGGCGGCCTAACCACCAGCAAGCCTTCCCTGGGAGCCTTTGCGAGGGAGAAGGTTTTGCATTTTGGAGGAAACTGAAGATCCAGCAGAATTATAAGAAATTGCTATGGAAGGTAAAGAAGGTGCCAGCATCCCAGGATTCCCAGTTCACGGATCATTACCCAGAGCATCTGAAACACCTCTATTTAGCTGAAGAAGAAAGACTCAGGAAACAGCAGAGAAAGGTTGGCCTGCCTGGGTCAGAAGAACAGGCTGACCAGCCCTTGCCGGAAGAGGGGTACAACTCTGAGCAAAGTTGGAAGAACGAACAGTCTAGTGATTACCAGCGTCAGCCGGAACCACCGTGTACACCACATTCTGTTACTATTCCACAGATACAAGCAAAGCGTGCTGCTGAGAAATTCGAATCTGAAATGAGAAAGCAAGGAGAAGGAACTCAACGGCTCTACAAAACGAAAAACTGAAAGTTTTCAAAACGCTGAATAAAAAGACCAAAAAGGGCCAGCCAAACCTGCATTTACAAATGGAGTACTTTCTTCAGAAAATACAAGAAAAGAGGTATATTAGACAGACTGTCTGTAGGGATTAAACTTTGACTGACGATTGCATCCTTTTGTATGTGTATTGGGAGCTCCTAACAGTGAACTAAATTTGTTGACATCAATGGATTGGTGAATTGTGTTTTTGTTTTTGTAATAGAAAAAAATCATATATGTATTTTTTCACAAAGAATGACTTTGTCATGAAGGCCTTAAAAAACCCTCAATGGAATTTGAAATAAACTATTTTGAAATAGAAAAAAATAAACAAAAAAATTATCCCAGATCCAGCATCATGAAGGTTTCCATCCATGCCTTCATCTAAGGGCTTAGCAGGTTTCAGCCTTGGTCCTTTTCTGGTTGACTTTGTCTGTACTGTTAGCTGAAGGTTGATTTTCATTCTTTTGCTTGTGGATATCTAGTTTCCCCAGTGTTTGGTGGATGTTATGTCCTCATGGAATAGTTTTAGAAACCTTGTAAAAATTGGCAGGTCCCTTATATGAGGATTTATTTTGTGCTCCTACTGCTATTAATTAATTACTATTAGTATTAATATACTCATTGTTTAAATAAGATATTAATAGATTAATTATTATTACTATTAATGCCAGTACCACACTGTTTTGATTGTTATAATATTGCAGCACATTTTGAAGTCAGTAACTGTGAACCCTCTAACTTTCTTTCTTTGAAATTATTTTGGTTATCCGAAAGTCCATGCAAATTTTATGATAGTTATTTTTCAGTCTATGTAAAAATATACTTGAGATTTTTACAGAGATCGTATAGTAATTGGACATTTCAGTGTTGCCTCCCAATCTGCGAATGGAGGGTACATTTTGTTTTATGTCTAAGTTATTTCAGAAATGTTTTATGGTTTTCCACATAAATCTTTTTTTTTAATGATAAAAAAATAATTGTTTTCATTTTATCAAGATAACAAGGATAAATGATACCAAAGCAATACCGGGCTTAGTAACTCTAACACCAAACCCTGTAGCTCCATGTCCAGCCTCTGTAACTTGTACTGGCATCATGAGGTCTCAAATGGGTTTGAGCACCTCATTTCTTCAGCTATACCACTTTCCTGCAGCTTTCCTCAGTGAATATTCCTTGTTTCTGTCATTCTATAGTGCAAATTCGGTTTTGCCTAATAGCCTCACAAATGGCCTCATTTCTTAGAAATCCGACCCTAGACACATAAATCTTTTGTCTCTGTTTAATTCCTACATATTGTCCTACACGTAGGCTGCTCTAACTTCCCCATCCCATCCACTGGACCCTGAAAGCTACAAGTCCCACTCTGCCCGCAAAGCCTCCTATCCCCCCCCCCCTTGCAACCTCAGTGGAACTCTGAAATGCAGCCTGCTACTACACAGAGGGGACTAAGAGAGGAACTCTGAAGCACAGGCTGTGATGGCACAGAGGGGACCCAGAGAGCAGGCAAAGACACACCGCACTGGCTCCCTGAGACAGTTGATAGTACAGAGCAGACCAAGAGCAGTTCCCAAAGACTCAGACAGCCAGGTAGGCACTGCAAGTACTGGACCAAGAGGCAAAGACACTGCCGGCACCAATTGAAGGAAGAGATGGATAGGCACCAATGCAAGAATTCATCCAACAATCTCCAAAGCAACACGGTAACACCAGAACCCAGTGGTCCTACAGCAGGAAGACTTGATCATTGTAATCCAAAAGTTGCAGAAGAAAATGATTTTAAACATAACTTTATGAGGATGATGGAGACCTTTAAAGAGGAAATGAAAAACTCTCTTAAGTAAATGGAGGAAAAGGCAAATAAAAAATTGGAAGAAATCAATAAATCTCTCAAAGAAAACCAAGAAAAAACAATCAAACAGGTGAAGCAAATAGTTCAAACAGTTCAAGATTTGAAGACTGAAATAGAGGCAATAAAGAAAACACAAACTGAAGGAATTCTGGATACAGAAAATCTGGGCAAATGAACAGGAACTACAGAGGCAAGCATAACCAACAGAATACAAGAGATGGAAGAGAGAATCTGAGGTGTTGAAGATACTTACAGGAAATAGATTCATTGGTGAAAGAAGACATTAAATCCAACAGATCCTTAACATACAACATCCAGGAAATCAGGGACACCATTAATTCCTACGTATTTCCCATCTTCCCTCCTTCTCTCCCTTGCTTCTCCTTCTCTGTCTGTGTGTGCCTGAATGTAGGTACCTACATCATGAGCACGAAGGGGCCCACAGAAGTCAGAGACTTTCAGATCCTCGGGGACTGAAGTTAGAGATGCTATAGAGCCACTACATGAGTGCTAGGAACCAAACCTGGGTCCTTTGTGAAAGCAATAAGGGCTCCTAACTGCTGAGCATCTCTCCAGCCCTGGCAACATATTCCTTTTGATACTGTCATAAATGGGATTATTTTTGTAACTCCTTTTTATATTGTTTCTGCTAGTGTATACAGATGTGACCTATTTTTGTGTGTTGACTGTCTTGTACCTTTGCCAAGTTAATATGTAAGTTCTAATAGTAGATCTAACTTCAGTCTTTCACCCTGGAAAATGTTTTTGGGGGTTTTTATATATGTGGGGTCTGTTGTTGTTGTGCTGAGATAGTTTCTATCTAATATTTGTTAAGACTTTTAATTAGAAGAGCTGTACATTTTTCTCAGAAGTTTTGCTGCAATGATAAAGGCAATCAGGCTATCCTTTTCCATCTCTTATGGCTAGCTTTGACAGCTTAAAAATCTAGAATCAGCTAGGAAGAGAGTCTCAGTGAGGTACTGTTTAGATCAAATTGCCTGTGGTCATGTTTTTGGGTGATTGTCTTGATTACGTTCATTGATGTGTGGAAACCCAGCCTACTGTGGGTGGCGCCTTTCCCTGGGTTTGGGATTTGGGAGCTGGGTAATAAGAATGCATGCTTACCTTCTCTCTGCTCTTGACTGTGGATATGATATGACTAGCTGTTTTAAGTTCCTGCTTCCTTGTATGTTTGTGTGTTCTATTACTGAGACTTGGATATTAAAGTCAACCACCATCATTGTAGAATTGCTTGTTTTTCTAAGTTCTGTCAGTCTTTGATGTGTGTATATGGATGGTCTCTTATTAGATGTATAGTTGATTAGTTATATCTTCTTGATATATTTAACAGTCAATTTGAGTCTGCCCTTTGCCTTCTAGCACTTACAAAGCCTTGAAATCCATTTTATCTGGTATCAACATAGGCACATCTGCTCTTTATTGGTTACTCCCACAGAACATCTTTTTCTAACTTGTGCTGTTGATTTGAAAGTAGATTTCTTATAAACAACATGCAACTGTTGCAAAAAGAGTGGTGGGCTGCGTTCCGCCAGGATCCTGGCTCCCGAAACAATTACACGAAAACTGTATTCATCTAAACACTGCCTGGCCCATTAGTTCTAGCCTCTTATTGGCTAACTCTTATATCTTGACTAACCCATATCTAATAATCTGTATGCCACCACGAGGTCGTGACTTACAGGCATGAGTCTACCCAGTGTCCATCTCAGGAAGGGGAATTATGGCATCTGCCTGACTCTGCTTTCTTTCTCCCAGCATTCTGTTCAGTCTACTCCACCTATCTGAATTCTGCCCTATCAAAAAACCAAGGCAGTTTCTTTATTAACCAATGAAAACAACACATAGACAGAAGGCCCACCTACTCCATGCAACTACTTGGATCATGTGGTTTTGTCTACTTTGTGGATCCTTGGCTTTGATTGGAGCATTTAATTTACTATATCTCAAGTAATTATTCGTTAAGAGGACCTCAAACTTTTATTTTCCAGGTTTTCTTCTATATGCCCTATAGAAGAAATTTCTTTTGTGCCTTGCTTCTTGTATTTTTGTATTCTTTTGGTTTTAGCACTTTTAATTTTTGACAGTGAAATGTTGACATGCTTTATCATTTTCTTTTGTGTATATTCTATAGCTATTTTCTTTATAGTTGCCATGGAGAGTACATTTAGCATTCAAATGTCTCAATAGCCTAATTTGAATTTATAGTAGTTTAGTTTCAGTGTCATGCAAATGCTTTGCCCCTTACCAGCTCCACCTCATGTCTTTCAATTTTGTTCATGCCACAGAATTGCATCCTTAGATATCACATATTTGAAAACATAATTCTTTTTTAATGTAATAGCGTTACAAAATAAACAGGAAACACAGTGTAGAGTTATAAACCAAAATTATAATAATCCTAGCTTTTAGACTAATCTTTTTAAAAAAACCCATTAGTGTCTTAAGTCATACAGAAAACAAAAACCGAACTACCAACTATGATTATTTAAATACTAGCCTTTGTGATTGCCCACGGACTTAGCTTTATTGAGGTCTTCATATTGTCCTACAGTTTTGAGATACTGTCTAGTGTCCTCTTGTCTCAGCCTGTAGGACTCTCTTGAGCATTTCTCATCAGACAAGTTCAGCTATGACGTCATCATTTCTGTCTAGCCTGGAATGCTCTATATAATCCAGCTGGCTTTAAGTTTGTGATGTTTTTGCACCATCATGCTGAGTTTTTATCAAGTCCACTTTTTCTTCAGGTCTGAAGAAATGTTTTGTTTGTGTTTTTTTTTTGATATAGGAATTTTTGTTTGATTTTTTTTAGTATTATGAATTAGTTATCCTGGTGCCTCCTGGCTGTGGAAGTTTCTGATAAGAAATTCACTGTTAATCTTATGGAAAGCTGCTTGTATGTGGCAAATCACTTCTTTCTTTTTGCTTTTGAGTCTCTAGCTTTTGATTACTGTAGAACTTGATGTGGATCTCTTGAGTTCATCTCACTTAGAGTTTGTTCCATACCTTAGGTATTCTTGCCCCTCCTCAGATTAGAGAAACTTTCAGCCATTATTCCTCGAATATTTCTTTACCCCAATCTCTTGCTCGTCTCCCTCTGGCATCCTGTGATACATACCTTAGTTTCCATCACAGGTTTTCACATGTGCTGTTGGCTGTGTTTACTTGTAATTTTTCTTTCTATTCCTGAGACTTGATAATTTCTATGATTTGATCTTCATGTTCACCAATTCTTTCTTTTCA